AGTTGTCAGCTAGGTTGGTTAGGAACTTATTTGATTTCTCACTTGGTGCAGAATTAGTTTTCCAATTGATATCAGGATAATTGAAGTCTCCCATTACTATTGCCAAAGCATCTTTCTGCTTCTCCAATTCTCTTATTAAATCTCTTAAAATGTTTTCCCCTGGTTAGATTCATCAGTAATTGTTAGTGTTATTGATATCTCCTCCTTGTTGTCTTCTTTTCACTGATTTCCCAGTTCTGCTTCTTCCTCCATCCCTTCTGCTGGCTCCTTCTTTTCCTGAGCATCTTGGTCTTTACTCATTATCCCTTGTATAATATTTTCCACTTTTTCGTCGATGCCATCTATTAATTCTATAGTCACCTTGCGTTCTTTCTGTATCATATCTTTTATGCTTTGAAACATCAGCTCCGTCTCATTCAAAGTTCTACTCCTTTCATCCATGTATTGCATCTTGTCTTGTTTAATAAATCCCACTTTTGGCCAATAGCCCAAGAACCCTTTATTCAAAGCTGAGGCTATTCTTCAGAATGCACACTAACCACAGTTCTTTATGTCTCACAAATAGTCAGTCAGTTCCACTGAAATAGTTCAGAGAGTTATCCAAGCCTCCTTAAGTCACTTTTATAAGTTCAATCATATAACATAATATTTCGGGGTCATTTTAATTAAAAATCTTCCTTGTTCTCATATTTAAATCTCCAGTGGTCTTAGGGTAGGTGAATATAACCCAGTAGGTATTTTCACAGTCCTTCAAAGAAATCTTCCCAGTCTTGTATATTTTTCTCTCATCAGCAGATGGCGCCCCCTGCATAGCAACATTGTTGCTGGTAGATCTGATTTTAATTATTTTGAATTGTAATTCAAATATAAAAGCAGTGTTAATTTTTAAATCTGTAATTCCAGCATTTTAAAATGCCTTCTCAATTCCACGTCTTCCCAGTTTGGGAGTCCAATTTCCTGTATTTTTAAAGAAGAAAAAAGTTTTTCTGTCTCTCTCTTTAATTCTTTTCCTTCTGGTTTGATAATTTTCTCAAAGTGTTTACACATGCTTTAACAAATAATTCTTATTCCCCCCCCCCCCCAAGTTTTTTATTTTTTATAAACATATCAATGCGTGAACAGTCTGGCACTTGTGTGTCATACATTTTGATACAAATAAAATAGTATCACTTATATTTTTCATTTAACAAGCTTATATAATTCTAGTAATAATACACATTTTTATTAGATTATTATCAGATCCCTAGACTGATGCTGCCATTCACCTGGGAGGAAAGGCGGGGTCCCCAAATATACTTCTTTCTTATTACCTCTGACAACTGCTATTTTATAACCTTTATCCTGGCACCTAAGCGCCCTGAGATTTTCTCACCTTTTGGGAAATGTATAAGGGAGGGAGGGCCATGTGGGTTTTTTCACTCTGAAGGCAGGTGGAAGATGAACCTGGGAATGCCTGCTTATCTGGTTCTCAGGACAGTCATTACCATAACATCTTCACACCTGTGGATTGGCTGAATCTACACTGGACTGGAGGTTTCTAATGCCTTATTTCTAAGTGTATTGCCTGAGGGGACTTAGAGTGCTTTGCTTTGGTTCTGCTATCACTTCTGCTCAATAAAAGGTTCCTTCTGAAATACTAAGTTTTTAAGAGTTTTTACTTTCTTGAGAGAGAAGGAGAGGCAGGACCTTACAATTACAATCTTTCATTATTTAGTTATTCAGTATTTCAATGTGTTATTTTTATGCAAATCAACCTATTCTAAATGTCATATCTTTTAATACGAATAGAATATTATTAACCATATTATTACATTTACCAAGCTTATATAATTCTAATAATAATACAAACATTTATGTTAAATTAAAATTTCCATTATTTGCTTGTTCAACTTATATTCCTTCATTATTTGGTTATTCAATATTTCAATATGTTATTTTTATGTCAATCACCATACAGAGGGGTGGGGCTTCACAGCATTACCAGTCACAGGGAACAGACCTCTCTGCTCCTGTGCTGGCTTTTCCCTGTTTGTGGGCTCCGAAAGCAGCCAAAGCCACCTTGTAGGGGTGGCGAAGCTAAGGAGAGGTGCTCTGAGAGGTCGCAGGAGAGATTGCAACTCTCCTGCTGAACCGCAGGGCTTTTTTCCCTCTATGCCAAGGTGAGGAGAAGAGGCAGTCTAAGATGGTTGCCATGAAACTGGGACAGCCAATGACCATCTAAGCACAGTGCAGGAGTGGACTTTGGGAGTGAACTGGGTGATAAGAATTCTTTTTATTCAAATTTTAACCCCAAAAGAATATCCAGGAAAAGAGACGTTCACAACTATTTTTAAAACTAGAAGTAACCTAGCACTTTGAGAAAATTTTAAAATTGTAGGAAAAGAAGTAAAGGGAAAAAGCAGAAAAAAGTTAAAATATAGAAAATTGGACTTTCAATTTGGATAGGCACTGCTTTGGATAGGCATTTTGAAATGCTGGAATTATCTACTTAAAAGTCAACATTTTTTTTTACATTGTGGGGAAAGAGAAAAACTGGTTGATATTGAAATCTAATCTAAGAGTACCACCTGCTGATGAAAGGAAGAATAACATACTCCCAAAATGGAAATATTTGATTACTAGGGATTTAAATGTGATAACAAGAAAGACATCATTAAAATGACCCCTGAAAATTACAAAACAAGACTGAATTTATACAGGGACCTAAGGAGGTTCTGGAAAACGTATGGGATTGTCCAGAGGAACAGGTTGAGCAATTTTGAGATACAAAAAAAGTTAAGAATATTGAATTTTTTGAGAAGTGACTATAGGTTTGAATATATGATCTTTGGATTATTGGACAAAAGAGGGACACAACAAAATTTAACAAAATGCTTCATCAAGAAGAAAGGAGTGGAATTTGGGAAGAGATGGCGTCGGCAATTCAAAGTACAATGGAGACACTGACAAGACATTTTATGGAAATTATGAACTGAATAGAGAGCATAGATGGAATGCTGGGAAATATAACCCAAAGGACAATGAGTGATCAAGACGCCCAGGAAGAAGAGGAGCCAATTGAAAGAGTAGATGAAAAAATGGAACAGACAAAACAAATGAAACAAATAATAAGGATTGATAACATAAGCCAAGGGGAGAGTACTCCAAGGAAATAAAAAAAGGAAACGGAGAACTAGGAAGATTCTTCTGGGAGAGAGATAGGGGCAAGAGTAGATATTTTGAAAACTAGACAATGGAGAAGGGCAGAGAAGGGGAAAATGTTTAAAATGAGTAGCAAAGATGTGGAAGCAGACAGAAATAAAGATCCAAGAGAGGAATACAGGAGGCAAGCTAAGAGACGAACAATTAAAGCGGATAAGATATGATGGTTAGAAAGGGAATATGTTTAAATATAGTAGTGGCACAATCAAAGTTAAAATAAGGATGGAAACTAGAGAGGGGGGATTAATACACATTTTATATAATAAGGAAAAGTAATAATAAGAGGGGAAATTAGAATTTGAATGATGGTATTATTAAATATACTTAAATAATATGGTGACTGGAATAAAAATAAGATATTGAACTATTGATTAAATAAATAATGAAAGAGTATAATTCAATATGAATATGTGTATGTTTGCTAAATGTAACAAATATGATTAAAAAATACTTTATTTGTATTTAACAAATAATTCTGAGTTAATAGTTCCCCTGAACTTTCTCTTGGGGTTAAGTTTTAGTAAAAAAAGGATCTTCTCACCCAGTTCCACATTATTCACTGAAATCTGGTCCAGCACAAATAGGTGGTCCTCGGCTGTCCCAGCTTCATGGCAGCCATCTTGGGGCTGCCTCTTCTCCTCGTCATGACTGAGAGGGAAAGAAAGCCACAGGTCAGGCAGGAGAGATGTGGCTCTTTGCTTCACCATCCTTATAAGGTGGCTTTGGCTCCTTTCGGAGCCCACCAACAGGGAGAACTCAGAACGGTAGTGCAGACCCACTCCTTATATCTGATCTCGTCGCAACATCAACCTTCTTTTTGCAGAGCCTCCTACTGGAGGTCTATCCAGGAAGGAACAGAGATGGCTGTCTGGCACATTAGGAGGCTTAAGAATATGAAAGCCAGCATAGCTCTGATTGGTCTAGTAGAGTGACTGAAAGCTGCTTATATAGAGAAAGTGGGAGGATTTCAAGCGGAAAAATATAGATGATTGTGGACTTGGGATCTTTCTGCCTCTCTGGCTATGAATGAGTCAGCACTGTTTTCAAACTTGGCTCTTATTCTACTCTTGATCATTGATGGGGCACAAAGACCCTCTCTTGGGACAACAGACTTTCACAAGGCTAGGCAGGAGCCAAATTATGACAGAGATGTTCTGTTTGTTTTTGGGAATTGCACAGCTTGAGGATAGATGTATTTATCCTGGCTGGACTGGCCAGAGGAGCAGTGTTATATAATTTTCTGCTGTTTGTGGGGCTGGGATAATCTGAATGTCTGTACATCAGAGTTGTCAATGCCATGCCTCTGGTTCTTTCTGTGTAATCTCTCTCTTTCTTCCACCTTTCCAGGAAAACAATTCACATCTTTTTTAAGATGACAAACAATACTGGAGATCCGATAGTCTAATAACAAACTTTTTCTAAAGTGTATGAATCCTTATTCTCAAAACACCATCTCCTAATTATGAAAGGCACGTATAACCAGCTTTAGAGAAACTCAGAAATTTATAGAAGTATAAACAATGAGGGGTGCAGAGGAAGCTACAAAAAAATTCAAGAACTGAGCATGTGTTGTTGTGAGCGCATAGCACAAAATATTGGAATATAAAATGAAAAACTTGGGAAGCAAAGAATAATAGGATAATTCTGAAAAACAGCAAAGCTAGCAGCAGAACGGGCATTCCATGTGAAAACATTCTGATTTGGAAGATAAAATTTTCTGCTTCTATGGCTTCAAGAATAATACATTCCTCCTTTTTCCTCTTGTGTCTAATATTTTTCTTTTTCATATTTTTTTTCAGGAATCTACTGTACATTTATCCACAGAATCTGAATTTCAGCAGCCGTCAAGGCTCAGTGCGAAACATTGCAGTGAAACTACAGTTTATGGCTGGAGAGGATCCTAGCCAAGCCATGCCTGTGAGTGAGACCCATCCTCAGTTGCTTCCTCCTGCCTTTCATCCATCACTGGATTGTGGAGCAGAAGGGAGCCCCTGAAGAGACCGCCCCAAATCTTGACTCAGTTTTCATGTTTGATTCAGTTTTCATTCAGGGTGGGTGAGGGGTTTCATTTATGACCAGACCGGCAACTTATATTCCTATAATTTCTATTTTCATAAAAGAAAATGTATTTTGAGTTTAGAAAATAACCTCAAAGTGCAACATTTTCCCTTATGAAATTTTTGCTGTATTTGCAGCAGATTTAATACTCAAACCATGGGGCTTTTATACTAATGGTTGTCTGGTGCTTGCCAGACAATTTAATAGCCAGTCAGGGTTTATCATTACAGTATGACCTGCCAAAAAGTTTGATAAGTTCAGAAGAAATCATGCTGAGTAACCAATTTAAGGGAGATGCTTTCAATTCAGTTTTCCTTAGAAATGTTCCTGCAAAATAGCAATTTGCTTATGGTTTCAACCAGAGCCTGTTACAGAGCGTAAATCTGCAACTAGGGTTTATGAAAGTTCTTAAGGGAGAGTTTCTGAAAGATCATGTCTGTGTTTCTTAGTGGAGTTGGGAAAGTATTGGATTTTGTTGCCTTGATTGTAAATGACAATGTTATAATAGCCATTGAAAATACTTGAAAGGGTGTGAAAAAAATTCAGCTCAATGTAGCAGTAGGTTATCCTTATGGTATTTCTGGACTTGAATAATCCAAATAATGTAAGAAAGGAAAGGATATGGATCACATGGAGATTCATTTTCTTCCCAGACATGCCAGAATGGAAAGTATTGAAATGCAGCAATAACAATAGCACTTAGATTTATATACCACTTCATAGTGCTTTACATCTCTCTCTAAGCAGTTTACAGAGTCAGCATATTGCCCCTAACAATCTGGCTTCCCATTTTATCAATCTCAGAAGGATGGAAGGCTGAGTCGACCTTAGGCCGCTGAGAATCAAACTGATGGCAGTTGGCAGCAGTTCGATTCTCACCAGCTTAAGGTCAACTCATCCTTCCAAGGTCAGTAAAATATTGTTGGGGATAATATGCTGACTCTGTAAATGGGTATATGTGGTATTTGTGGGCAAATAATGAAAATCGTATGGCTTTTCTAAGTGCTTGTTTCACTGGTGCTCATGCTCCCTCCCTTGATCAGATGAGTTTCATGCTCTCTGTTCCTGACTGATACTGTTTTTGCTTCTCCTTATGCTTCAGGTTATCTTTGGAAAATCAAGTTGCAGTGAGTTTGTCAAAGAGGCTTACACAGCTGTTGTGTACCATAACAAGTGAGTCTTTAGCAACCAGATTAGGAATTGATGGTGGCTGTAAATAGGTGGTTGTTTGGTTAGTCTACACTTAACTATGCAAACTTTGCCAGAAAAAATGATCTTTGATTTCCTGTGCAGAACTTTATCACAAATATGTAAATAAGAAATTTTGTAAAGTGTTAAATGGCAGCTTTCCAACATCCCTGTCCACAGATCACCTGAGTTCTATGAGGAGTTCAAGCTGAAGATCCCAGCCAATTTGACAGACAACCATCACCTGCTTTTCACCTTTTATCACATTAGCTGTCAACAGAAGCAGAACACGCCTCTGGAGACTCCTGTTGGTTACACAGTGAGTTTCAAAAGTAATGCGGAGTTACAAGGTTGCACCTGTGATTCATTGTAAAAGGGCACCAGTTTAAATCTCCACTATCTTCCCTTGCAAAGAAACTCAGATAAAGGGACAAGAATCCCCTGCTTTAAGACTATCAATAAATTTTGCCATGAATTGAGAGTATCTGTCATTGTATATACAGTATTCATCATATTTGATCAATTTTTCTGGAATGCCCTTTACAGGCAGTCCTCAACTTACCTTCATTTGTTCAGTGGCCATTTAAAGTTACAGTGGCATTGAAAAAAGTAATATATGATCATTTTTCACACCTATGACCATTGCAGTATCCCATTGGTCACATGATTAAAATTCGGATGCTTGCCTGTTGGCTCATATTTATGACGGTTGCAATGTCCTGGGATCATGCGATTACCTTTTGTGACCTTCTGACAAGCAAAGTCAATGGGAAACCAGATTCAGTTAGTAACAACCATGTTATTAACTTAAAAATTGAAGTGATTCCCTTAATAACTGTGGCAAGAAAGGTTGTAATATGGGGCAAAATAAGGATTCCCTTCCAAATTGTGCTCAGTGGGGTTTACTGTTGTCAATACCAATAGTAAATTGCCTTAAATATGGAAGGTGGAATAGTTGGAGAAGAAGAATTCTTTTGTTCTATGTTCTGTGTGTGATTGTAGGTCTGCTTTTCTTACTAAAACTGATCTGTGGGACAGGAAGAGAGGGTCGGATTGCAGAGGAAAAGTGGCAAGTGAAGATGTCAACCTGCAACTTAACTTTGCCTGTTTTCTCTTTCTAGTGGATTCCTCTCATGCAACATGGACGGCTAAGAACAGGGCAGTTTTGCTTGCCAGTGTCAGTTGACAAGCCTCCACCCAGCTATTCAGTGCTCACTCCTGATGTAAGTAAAGAATGGCTTTGTTTTCTTAGAGAGCAGAGGCTGAAAGGCCTTTCCTTACCTGGGCTGCATTGTGAAAGATGCCTCCTTTCTCACTTCTTACTCCCACTGCACTTCTCTCAATTTGTGCCAGGCTTTGACAGGTCAGACTAATCATAAGTTTTCATTTTTCAGAATTGTAGCCTGTTTCACAATGACTACTAGACTTTCCACTGGCAGAACTTTTTATGCATTTTGTTTATAAATCTTTTCCTGGTTTGCTTCTCTGTAGGTGCAGCTACCTGGCATGAAGTGGGTGGATAATCACAAAGGCGTCTTCAGTGTGGAAATTCTGGCTGTCTCCTCTGTTCACACTCAGGTGAGAGGACAAGTCAGTGGTTGATCTCCTATGTTGCTCTAGGAAAACAAAGAACAAACCAAGGCTTGGTTGTATCATCATGTTGTTTTTCAGCTGGGAATTTGCATTAGTTTTTCCCCCTTCAAATCTAAAACTGAAGTCTTAGTTCACATATAAAGTATTTTTTTAAAAAAAATACATGCCAAACATTTTTCCAAATTCATAATATATTTCTTCTTTGGTAGCTTATTAGGCAAAATTGTAAGGACCAGCTGGTCCCTCAGAAAAGTAAGACTCTTGAATCCATTAAGTTGAATCAAAGGAACTTTTATTGAGAGAAAGTAATTTTCAGGAAAGCAAGGAGGCAGGAAAGAAAGCATGTGATTATTCATACCCCCCTCCTCCCCCATTAGTTTGGGAGTGGTGACTTGAGCTAAGCCCCATGTCAGTCCTCAGTAGTTTAAGAAATGCCCTCCAAAACAGTGGTTGTCAACTAGTGGGCCAGGGACCACTGGTGGTCCGCGAGAAAATTTTGGTGGCCGCAGAGAAATGTCCCCCCCCCCCAAAGCAATTAATCCAGGCTGCGCTGCCCACATGGCCCACCTATCCGCTGCTCCCCCCACCCTTTGGCCGAACACAAGCCTTACCTTGAATAGAGTCACGCAAGCTGGAACTGGAAGGTAAGACCAATGACGGGGGAGGGAAATCCGCCCCAGGGTGGCTTGCTGACGTTGGTGGGAAAGTTGGTCCCATATTCCAGAGCTGCAGCAGTCACAAGACTGGCCCTTTGGTCATCCAGGAGCAGTCTATAGCAGGCCGGTGCACCCAGGTGTTCACTCAGAGAGGTCCAGCCCAGGGGAGGTCTGGATGAAGCTTCCCCCAACATTCAGCTTCCTGCTGATCACTGCGTTGGTCTGACATCTATTACACATTCCCCACGGTAGGGCAGTGTGCCTCTCCGGGTTGACTGACCTTTGCTTAATATAAGGACATGCCCCAGCTGGTCTCTCAGAAAAGTAAGACTCTTGAATCCATTAAGTAGAATCAAAAGAATGTTTACTGATAGAAAGTGATTGCTGGAAAGCAAGGTGGATTCTGAAAAGTCCCATGCAACGCCCAAAGCAAGCTCAACCCCTCTGACCAGTGCACCGGCAGCCAATGTGATGCTGCAAGGTTGTTTTGAGAACACTGAGGTAAGGCAGATAACAATTCATCCTCAGGGCATGACAGCCTTGAAATCAGGCTGGAACTGGCTGGGAGGTAGTCCTCTCCATCTCTGAAGACAATCCCGCTCCCTAGTTCCCAAGCAGTTACAGCAAAAGCAAAAGCATGCAAAAATGCCAGCAAGCCTCTCCCTCCCACGACTTCCAACAGAATGGCAAGACATGATGGTGGACCTGACATCCATTGAGAAAAACAGAATGTTCATAGTTATTCTTAAGAAATAGTCTGTGTTAGAGACCATATTTATGAAATGGCTGTCTCATTAAACCTAAGAAAATAAAGATGATTGTATAGCAGGCTTGGCAGTTCCTGAGTTTCTTACAATGAAAGAGACCAACATTTGATAAAGGGATTTAAAAACAGATCCTAATCTTCCTTAATATAGAGTTGGATATTATCACACACACACGCACACACACCGTGTTTCTCCAACAATACGCCCCCCCCCCAATAGGAAGACCCAGCATGTTTTCTAGGCATAAAATGAAATTAAGCCCCTCCCCCTAAATTTAGGTGTAGTTTAAAACATGCAAAATTGGGGAGGAAGGCGGGGGGGAACTTTCCATTAGGAGGGCCCCGCGGGCAGCTACGCCTCACCATCAGCTGCTCCTAACACCATGGTGGCGCACAGAGGGCTCCCTTACCCCTCCCTTAACCGGGTCAGCAGGTGGGCAGTGTCGGCGTGGATGTCCGGCAGCGTTTCAGCCGCTTCTCAGGCCTCTGTAGCTTCCTTGGTTCCCACCGGTGCTGGCGGCAGTAGCGGCGGGAACTGTGGAAGTGTTTTAGCCACTTCTCGGGTGGGGGAGTTGCCTCCGTAACTTCCACAGTTCCCGCCACTGCTGCCACTGTTATTGGAGATGGTGCTGGCGAGAGAGAGAGACAGCTGCAGCTCGGCCTGGGCGCTTGGAATGAAGGAACGGGCTGCGCACAGGGACTTTTGCAAACTTGCAGAGCCTGAGGCTGGAGCACCAAGGGTAGCAGCAGCAGAGATGCTCGCTTGGCTCTTATGCCCACCCAGCCGCTTGGGATTAAACCAAAACGCAGTGCACAGCGCTCCCAGGTACCTCAAAATCTTTTTTTTTCCTGTTGTTATGGGGATGAGGAAAAGCGGGAGCGACTCAGAAGCTGTTGTTGGAGACGGTGCTGGTGCGTAGGGGTGGTGGTGGAGAAATTAATTCACCCCCGAAAAGACATCCTAGCCATTTTTGGGGGGGCTCAAATATATATATATATAAGGCCCAGCCTTATTTTGTGAGAAACACGGTACCAACACACACATATATACACCCTTGCTGCTAGAGTATAATCCCTTCATTCCTAGTCAAGATAGTTGAAGATTACGGGCATTACAATTCAGCAATATCTGGAGAACCATAAATTCTTGTCCAACCTTAATACTTGTTATGCATTTTTATCTCTTTATCACATCATATTATTGGTATAGTTAAATGATGATAAAACTTAATCGATATTTAACACACAGCTATTCTTTGTTCTGGTAGGATCCATTCTTGGACAAGTTCTTCACTTTGATACATGTGCTAGAAGAATATACCTTTCCCTTTCGACTCAAAGATGTGATCCTAACAGAGAACAACATAGAGTCTGAATTGAAATCTAGTGTGGGCAACTTACGAGTGGCTAGCCTGGAACCTTTGGTGGCCTTCAGTCATCAGATTCTCAACAAGCTGATCCAACTCATTGTATATCCACCTGTCATTGCAGGGCAGATTGGTGAGTGTCATATCTATGGTCCTCTCCATTTCCTCTGAAAGGATTTTCTTGTTATCTGAAACAAATGGAATAACCTAATGTTCCAATTTTTTGGAAAAAAACCTTACTCTTACAGAGTTGGATGGAAGGGAACATGTTTGCGGTATGGGATACCCTCCACTCACTAAAAAAAAATGTGTCTTCACCAGGACATAGGGTCTTCTGCTTGAGTAAGGGGTTGGACTAGAAGACCCCCAAGATCCTTCCAACTCTCTTATTCTATTATTCTGTTAAGTAAATGTAATATTCCAGCTTTCACATTTTGGATTTAGACTTCCACATTGAGATGAGTCCTCTCTGGATGCCAGCATAACAAAAAAGTTTTGAAGTATCAGTACACATTTCAGCATTGTTCTGGATCACAGTGGTAGAATTCTGCTTGGGACAAGCAGCTAGCTGGTGCTGTCAGTCTTTTTAGCTGTTTGCAAGAAATGCTGTCAATCACTGTTGTATTTCTATTAGTCTGTTAATGCCCTTGCACAGAAAGTAGTTGATTTTTTTTTCTGCCATAAATTTGTTTTTTTTATACTAAGTTATCATACACAATCATTTTAAAACATTTTCTTTTTGCATTATGTTGAATATATGACAGGTCTTATTTGACTAAAAAGCATCTGAGTATATTTATTTTTGAGGGTGTCCAATTTTATGGCACAGGTAACTCAGTTTCGTGTATGATAACAAATCATTCATTAGGACCTACTCTCAAGTAGCCCCAATGCATAGGATTTAAACCTTTCAGTCATCTAACTTTTAAGAAATCTTTTAAAGGCAGCCTTTTAATTAGCATTTTTTGTATTTATAGGTGTGGGGGTGGGGTGGGGGTGGGGGTTGTAAGGGGAAAAGAAAGAAAGTAAGGGGAAAATACCCTCTTCCCAAATACCTTTGTTAACCAATTAAAACTGAAAACACACACACACATACACACACACACACAAACACACCATATATATTCATGTTCCCTTTAGTTTAGGTAGTTTATTCTATGGTGGGAAAACATTGGAAATTAAAAATAGACATGTGTTGGTTATTTCCAGGTTTCTAAATAATCTTGCAATACTATTATTGAAAATTAAATGCTTGTTCAATCATAGAAACAGATTTAAGATCTTCAAATCATTGATGGAGAATGGTACATTTCCAATTCTGTACCATTTCCAATTCTGTACCACAGAGAGGAAAGGTGTTATGATATGCACAGAATAACCCTTAAGTAACAAGGATATGCACATGGAAACATTTATTAGAGTAGTTATGAATAATTATCCAGCCATACACAGATACACTAAATTGAGTTAAAGTTTACTTTAAGAAATAGCACAGTCCAATAAACAGTCCAGATCATATACGTTTAACAGTCCAAATAATATCCAATTACAAAGTCTTCTTACCAGTTGCCTTTGTCATTTACAGTAAACAAAAATATCAAAATATAAATACAGCATAAATACAACAGAGATCCTTAGATAGCAACAGAATCTCAGAGAGACAGAATGACAGAGAGAGCAAGCTATGATCTCTAGCTCCCTCTTATGGTAATTTGCAATATAATCAACCAATTGGAATATAGTATAAATAAATACATTGATTTTGTCTTAAAGCTACAAACATACATTGTTGGTTTATATATTGCCAACCCAACTGATTGGTGGACAGATTCCTAACATTCTCCTCTTTGGGTAGGTCAATATATAATACATTACATCTTTAAACCATAATTCTCACAACACTCTTTATGCTTAATTGCACCTTGAGCTTTCGTGAAATGATCTGCAATATTATGTTCAGTTATGCAGTATTCTAACTGAATTAATTTATTTTGAACACACTGTCTAACATTCAAATATCTCAAAAACAGTATGTTTACACCTTGTTTTAACAGCTAAATTAGTAGCCATACTAATTGCAGATAGATTGTCTTCATAAACAATAAATGGATCACTTACAGTAATTCCAATATCCTTCAACTATTGTTTATAATATATCAATTCTGTTCACATTAATGATAAACATGAGAATTCCACTTCCATAGCCGATAAACTAATATGTTGTTGCCTAATAGACTTCCATCCTATTAAAGCATTACCCAACATTACCACTATACCTGATGTTGACTTATGAGTCATTATATCAGTAGCAAAACTTGCATCAGCATATACAGTTAACACTAATTCATTACTTGGTTCTAAATATAATGAATAATTGATTGTGTGTTTTAAAAACCTAATTATTTGCTTAGCTGCTTGCCGATGCCTTTCATTTGGTTCAGCATTATACCCAGGCAATTGGTTTACACTGTAAGATATATCTGGTCTAGACTAATTACTAATTATGATAGACTACCAATTAAAGATTGATATATTTCCTTATCAAACATAGGGCTTTTAATATCACTATGTGTAAATTCCTTACTCATTGGTGTCTTAGCAGATTTACAATGCTCCATGTTATAATGTTTTAATAATTGGCTAATCTTCTTGGCATGTGAAATTTTAAAACCTTTATTCATTTTCACTATATGAAGACCCAAATAATGCTTAATTTCCCCTAAATTTCTAATCCTGAACTTTTTCTGTAATCTATAAACAATATCATTTGCTCAGTTTTAGTTATAATTGCTATGTCATCCGTAAATAACAGTAATAGAGAAATTAAACCATCTTTTTCTCTTTGGAACAAACAAGGATCAGGTATCCCAGCTTCAAAACCTATTGAAACTAATTCCTTTACAATACATTTATTCCATTTATAACCGGATTGCTTTAGACCATAAAGACTTTTCTTTAATTTCCAATAATCAGTTTTTTCATCATCCTTTAAACCTAATGGCTTTTTCCTATAGATGGTATGTTGTAAAGGTGCATGTAGATATGCAGTTTCAATATCTACATGCTTTATTTTACATTTATTCTTAGCTGCCCAAACTAATGCTGCTCTCAATATATTTGCTCTCAGTAGGTGCAAACACTTCATCATAGTCCTTATCTGACTGAGCAAATCCTTGAGCAACAAATCTTGCTTTATGGGTAATAGTCCCATTCACACCAGTCTTTATCTTATACACCCATTTGCAACCTATTGCATGCTCACCTGGTGGTAACTTTACATCCTCATACATCTCTAAATCCTTTAACGATTTTAACTCCCTATTTATAGCTTCCTGCCAAGCTACCTGATCCTTTGTAGGATACAGTTTTATTTCATTGAAGTTAGAAGGTTCTGTATTAACCTGACATACAATGCTTGCTTGAAATCGGTCAGGTGGACGTCTCTCCCTAGTTGACCTCCGAGGCAACTCAGTACTTGTTGTTGGCATGTCCTCTTCCTTTACCTCCTCTATCAAATCCTCGTCTTCTACAGTCATAGAGGGTTCTTCTATTGATGATTCCCCCATGGAAGATTCCTCCACTATCTTATCATCAATATTATTATCATTGGGATTATCGATAAACAATGGAGTCTCAACAACAACACAATCCTGTACCTTATTATATTCCTGTTCAAGCTTTCTCCAGCCAACATGCTCCAGAAATTTAGCACTTGCACTGCAATATACACTAGTAGTACCTGGCTCCCAAAATCTAAATGATCTATGATTAGCTTCATAACCTACAAAATACAATTGTCTTGCTCTATGTTGTCCCTTTCACCTTACTTGCATGGGAATATGAACCCATGCTGGGGTTCCAAATGTATGTAAAATAACTGAGATCTGGCTTTTTTCCATTCCAACTAGCAAATGGTAATTCACCAGTCGTTGAATTCAGTACGTTATTCAAAACATGGTTAGCACACATTATTGCTTCACACCAAAGTTCCTCTGATAAACCAGAATCTGAAATCATAGTCCTAGTCATAGCCTGTAATGTTTGTCCTCTACATTCAATATATGAGTTATGTTGTGGTCTATAAAGAGCAGAACACTTACGTTCAATGCCAGCTTTCTGTAACATGGCTTCAAATTTTCTATTGGTACATTCAGTACCATTATCTGTTACTAAGCTAATAACTTTCTATTCCTTTTTCCTTTCAGCAAATTTTAGCCAGTTTACAAAATGCTGGTATGTTTCTGTCTTCGTTTTCATTAAATAACAGAAACCGTATCTGGAAGAATGATCAATTATACTTAATATATAACAGGCTCCACCTAAACTAGGTTTCTTAGGTCCAATAATATCAGCAAAAACAACCTCTAATGGTTCACTGGTTTTGAATCTATTTACCCTATTTGCAGGAGTTACCTTGTTTTTTTCTTGATTGCAAACATTGCAATTTAAATACTTTGTACAAGGTTTTAATTTTATACCATTAGATAACTCAACAGTTTTCTTTTGCATTTTGAAATGTATATGTCCCATACATCTATGAAGTAGATGAATACATTCATCATGAGGCTTTTTATTCTTATAAACTGAGTTAGCATTAATTAGTGGATTATCTTGTATAATAAACAAACCATTATCCAATCTTGCAGTAATGCTTTTACCCTGTTTTTCAATTAAACATTTATCTCCCTGAAAGGTTACAACAAATCCTGCTTTTACCATTGCTCTTATAGATATCAAGTTAAATATCAGTCTAGGTACATATAACATCGGTAAACGTTCATTAATACATGAACAATATGTAGTACCTTCTCCAGATGCTCTCAATTTCCACCCATTAGCTAATGATACATGCTGTTTACTCTTTGTCATGTGAACAAACCTCTTTACTTTTAGTTATGCACTGCGATGCTCCACTGTCAACTACCCATATATCATGGTTTACAGTTGTAGTTGTACTTGATATGGTAAACTAACATTTTTATAAGCTCTCTGTATGTTAATAGCATTCTGTTTCTTACCCTTTTTACAGTATCTGGCTATATGACCTTTAGCCCCAAAAGAAAAACATTTCCTAACAATATAGGCAGTTGAAGACAGTTTTTCTTCCTGTGGTTGTCTTTCTCTCAGTTGATTTCTATCTTGCCTTCTTCTTGACTCTTCTAACAGTCTTCCAGTTATGCCAGTCAATGTAAGTTCATCTCTGTTTAAAAGTGAAGACACATAATCATCATAAGTTTCATCCAAAGAAGAAAGAATGATGTAAACTTGATGCAACTCTGAAAAAACCAGCTCCTTTTCTTGTAGCTCTTGTAAAATCCTTTTCATAAACTCCAAATGAGCTAACATATCACTACCTTTTATAAGACGGGCTCTAAACAGTTTACGTGTAAGGTGTATGTGCGCACCCACACTATCTCAAACATAAATCCTCTTCAAAATGTCCCAACATCTAGCAGCAGATTCTTCACCACGAATATAGACTAGCTGCTGATCACTCAGTGTTAGTCCAATTATACTAAGAGCCTTTTCATTATCCCGGTTAAAGTCAGCTATTTTCTTTTTATCTTCATCATTCAATGGGTCCCAAGCTGTTACATCCGGTGACTATTAACTACAGTCCATAATCCATCTTTACGCAGAAGTAGGCTGCACTTCATAGACAGGAAACATAGTTTGTTCCATCCAACAGGGTTATCTGGGGTATACTGGTTGACTGTTCTTGTGCCATTGGTAATTTAACAGTAAATCGCAATCAGCTGTTTGTATATGAAACTGTATATTCACACTAATTCTCAATATCTCTCTGGGCCCATAACCAATGTTATGATATGTACAGAATAATCCTTGAGTAACAAGGATATGCACATGGAAACGTTTATGAGAGTAGTTATGAATAATTATCCAGCCATATACAGATACACTAAATTGAGTTAAAGTTTACTTTAAGAAATAGCACAGTCCAATAAACGGTCCAGGTCATATACCGTTTAACAGTCCAAAGAATATCCAATTACAAAGTCCTTCTTACCAGTTGCCTTTGTCATTTACAGTAAACAAAAATATCAAAATATAAGCACAGAATAAATACAACAGAGATCCTTAGATAGCAACAGAATGTCAGAGAAACAGAATGTCAGAAAGAGCAAGCTATGATCTCTAGCTCCCTCTTATGGTAATTTGCAATATAATCAACCAATCGGAATATAGTATAAATCAATACATTGATTTTGTCTTAAAGTTACAAACGTACATTGTTGGTTTATATATTGCCAACCCAACTAATTGGTGCACAGATTCCTAACAAAGAGGTCAAGCTATTTTCTAAAGCACCTGTAGACCAGACAAGGAATAATGGATGGAAACTGAACAAGGAGAGATTTAATCTGGAAATAAAGAGAAACTTTCTGACAGTGAGAACGATCAACCAATGGAACAGAAGTTGCCCTCAGAAGTTGTGGAAGCGCCATCACTTGAGACTTTGAAGAAGAGATTGGATTGCCATTTGTCAGAAATGGTGTAGAGTCTCCTGCTTGGGTGGAGGGTTGGACTATTTATTAATAAAAGCCTGCAGTAAAATAATAAATGGCTAGTGGGATTTTTAAATTTTATATGCTACTCATATCACTGTCTTTCTTATTTGTTTGAAGTAAATCTTGATGAATTTTTTGCTGTCTTCTGCCATGTGAAGGAATTTTAGTGAAAAGAACCTCATTTTCACTTTATGCCAAACATTTTAATCATGGTCACATTGCACATGATAACAAACCAGTTCCCAGTCTCTTCCTTTTAGGAAGCTAGCTAATCCCACTGCTAGATAGGATACAATTAAAAAAAAAAGACAACTTGCTTTATACTCCTTTTTTTAAAAAAAAAGTCCTGTAAAAGTTAAAAGAAAAGCCCAAAGCTGCTGTTGCCATCCACTGATACTACCATTTCACTACCTGCTACCTGCAGTCTCTGCCTAGTGAGTTTCCCATCTCAGGTTGAAAGAGATGATGCTTTGCAGCAAGTGAAATAGAAAAACTGCCAGAGAAATTCTTCCTGTATCTTTGTGTGCATAAAGTAGAAGAAAAGGCCCAAGGCATTCATCCCCTGATAGTTTAATAAAAATTCATTCAATGCTAATATAGCCCAGGTTGCACTCGTGATAGTCTCTTTTGGTTTTTCATTCTGCACTCCTTTTTTCATTAGAAGATGGAGAAACAGAGCAAATTTTACAGGTGACTATAGATATTAAACATATAAATATCAGCTAGAATGCCATATTTTATGTTTATTGTAAATTGTCCATTTTTTGATGTATGTAATTTCTCTTCTATAGCTAATGTTTGTCTTACTCAGTTCATTCTCACCTTTCCCTATTTCTTTTCTTGCTTCTTCCAGTGAACTTGGGTCGTGCAGCATTTGAAGCCATTGCTGTGATGGTGAACCAGATCCATAAGAGCCTGGAGAGCAGCCAAGATCAACATGGCCACAATCATCTGTTGGCCTCTTATATCTTCTACATTTTCCGTCTGCCTGTGATGGACCCAGGTTTGCCAGGGATCACAAATGCTTGGTATATGTATGGGGCAAGCAAAGAACTGTGTGTCTGATCATCATTCCTATGGGCTGTGAGCCATTTTCATGGCCTGCAACTTAGGAGCATTTGGAAGCATTCCAAGTATTCAGTGAAGACCTATATTCACAAAAAAGTCCTTCACTTCTTGTATTATTAAATATCTCTGTTAAAATGGATGAAGTAATTAGATAACACTATTTATCAATTCCAATTGTATGCAGAGAACAAAGACTTGTTTATATTTGACATCTTTAGTTGAATGATTATAAACCTGGGGTGACTGATTTAGGTGCTGTTGAGTGGTTCCAAAACATCTGAGAAGCAAACTGAGGGATTGCCAAACCAAACTTCGAGGATCAAGGACAGCTTAGTGATGCTCTTAATTTCTGCAGTGGAAAATATCCTGAGCAGAAACCTATCATATTTGGGATATTCCCTCTCCCAATTTGAAATTAAAAGTAGGATTTCAGAGGCTCCGACTATAGGTAGTCTTACTTAATGATCACAATTAAGGACCAGCTGCATCACTAAGTGACTCAGACATTAACAAAAATATCACCTAATCAGATTTACATTGTCACTTCTCCTGAGATTATTAAGCAAATCACCACAGATTATTAAGTGAGATGTGGCTCACCATGAATTACAGTTTTACTGTCAATTTCTCCATCAACTTTGCTTGTTGGAATCCAGCTATGAAGTGTGGTATTGTGACCATGGGACATTGCAACAGTTGTAAAGATCCATTGGTTGCAAAGTGCCCAAATGTCAACCATAAGACTGCAAGGATATTGTGGTGATCATAAATGTTGGGACTGATAATAAAGTTACATTTTTCAGCACCATTGTAATTTCAAATGGTTACTAAACAGGGCAGTCATTAAGTAGGTCTACCTGTAGTGTGGTTGCTTACCCAATCTTTCCATTTCCTCCCAGTGCAGCAGCCAAGATTGAGAACAGCACGACATGCTCCATTATAGGTAACAGGAGGATGAGGGTTAAAATAGTACTCGTATAACATATAGTGTAAAAGAACATCCTGTAATAGCTTTGTAACACTTCAGCATTTTAACACAAAATTAAATTCAAGAAGCTCCAGTGCAAAATTGCAGTAGAAAAATATTTTAATGAGTTTTCTAAAAGGAAGGCGATGGAACACCCTAACGGAAAAGAGGGGAAATTTATGATAATTTCCCCTTTGCTTGAACAAAGGAGAATCTAACAATGGACAGCTCAATCACACGTGAGAGATTCATAGACATTTTTAAAGGTCTGCACAAATGATAGAAGAAGTCACTCTCCCAGTCTGACTCACTCTGTATTTCTTCCAGAGATTGGAGTGCCACCCCACAGTGGTACCCTTCAATATGCTACCTTGTCCCGTGCAACTGGGCGCCCTGTTAGCCTTAATCTCTCTCGTTCCAAAAGTATCAGCAACAGCAATCCTGACTTGACCACTACACCAACTTCCCCAGATGAAGAGGTTCAGAAGATTATCAGCAGCAAGGTTAGTACAACACTGACCCTGTCCTTCCCAAGAAGGAGGAAGTTTGTTTAGCTGCCAAACCATTTGCCAAAATTATGGTCTTTGAAGTGCCAGGTGATAATCAGGCATTTTGGTTTTTCACAATTCTAACACTGTGTTCTTCTGATTGAATTTTATTGGTTGTGCTGTTCTTTATGCATGTTTCTGTTCTTATTCTGCTGCTTTTGTACAGTTTTAATAGATTGCTCCCTACCCAGAAAATATTACCAATAGGCAATTTGGATATGTAATAAATACATTCTACCACACAGAATAATTAACAAATAGAAATGTAAAGATTTGTAGACATAAAAATGGTTCCCCATCAGTCTTTAGGTTCCCTGGTTTTTCCAAATGTGTGTATGCTCATCAGATTAGCCTGGCATCTATTTCACAGATTGGGCTAATCCCAGATTCTAATCTGGAGAAGGAGAAAGTTTGTTTTTTTGTATCAAATGTGACCTGAAGGGATTTCTTATCCTCTGTACAAAGTCCCTCTCTCTCCATTTTTCCTACCCTGCACAGAGAAAAAACGAATAGTTAATTCTACCCAGAGAATGTATGTTTTCCTCCCCAGCTCTTTGAGAACTTCCCTCTCTTAGTGCTAAATTATATTAAAAAATGCCTGTTTCAGTTGACTTGCATTAATCATCTGGGGAGATGTGACTGGGAAGGATGTATGTATGTGAATATATGTGTTCTATATGGGGTGAGCATATTTATGTAAATTTAGGGAAAGGCATGCCAACATTGGCTTCACCAACACCCATCCATTGTTGGCACTTTTTTTCTCTAGTCTTTATGCTCTGGGCTTCTTAGAGAAAGGATTTTCTTAGTTCACTTCTTTAAATAGAGTACATTGCCCTGCATAATTTTGGATTTATAGGAGAATAATCTGATCTTAGCTTTCCACGGAAGCAGCATTTACATGGCTTATTCTAATATTTGTCTTATATGCAATTATCTTTCTTACTTTTTTTCCTTCTCCCTTTCTTTCCCAAGCTTTTAGTTAGAATTTTTTTAAAAAAACGCAACCAGTGAACCATAAAACCACCAAAATGTTTCTTTGGAAGTAGCAACTTTAGAACTGTTCACAGTGAAATTACACCAGCAATTTGATTCTGCCCAACATCTGTGCTATATGAAAAGCAAATCTCACATTTGATGGAAAACCATTGGCTTTGCTACTAGAGGGAAATGATTCTGTTGCCTGGCAATTAGAGCTGCCCCTATATGGCCCAGGGTTATTACTGACAAACATTTATCTACATAGTTCGATGAATTGGACATGTGAAATTATTAATAGAATGTGGTTAATAAAGAAATCTGAATCTCTCTGTGAGTGCCATTCTATATTGTGGATATTATAAAATGACAGCTTGCTTAGTGGGCAGGGCAGCTGGTAAGGATAGCCAACACCCCAGAAGACAAGCTCAGGATCCAAAAAGATCTTGACAGACTTGAACAATGGACCCTATCCAACAATATGACATTTAATGTGAAGTAAAGCAAAGTTTTACACTTAGTCAGGAAAAACCAAAGCTTCAAATTTAGATTAGGCGAAACCTGGTTCAAAAACAGGAACTGTGAGAGGGACCTTGGAGTCCTAGTGGATAATCACTTAAATATGAGTGAGCGGTGTACAGTAGTAGTTAAAAAAGCTAATACAATCCTTGGTTGTATAAACAGGCATAGAATCAAAATCATGTGAAGTATTAGTACCTCTTTATAAAACTTTAGTAAGACCATACCTAGAATTCTGCACCCAGTTTTGGTCATCACATTATAAAAAAGACTGCAAAAAGTGCAGAGAAGAGCAATTAAGATGATTAAGGGCCTGGAGACAAAAAAATATGAAGAATGGCTGCAGGATTTGGGTTTGGCTAGTCTAGAGAAAAGAAGGAGGGGTGATTTGATAGCAGCATTCCAATATTTAAGGGACTGCCACAAAGGAGGGGTCAAATTATTTTCCAAAGCACAAGAAACTATGGTTGGAAACTAATTAAGAGAAGCAACCTGGAATTAGAGAAATTTCCTAACAATGAGAACAATTAACCAGTAGAACAGCTTGCCTTCAGTGGTGAGTGTTTCACCACTGGAGGTTTTTAAGAAGAGACTGGACAGCCACTTGTCTGAAATGGTATAGGGTCTACTGCTTGAGCAGGGGGTTGGACTAGAAGACCTCCAAAGTCCCTTCCAGCTCTATTCTGATTGATTGATTGACTGATTGATTATGGAATATTTAATGTAAAACAACCTCCTCCATTTTCCTCTGATATATTAGAGTATAACTCTTGGGATTCCTTCCTCAGGCTGTCTTGAAGTTCTGTTGATCTTATGGATGCTTGACACTTGCCCCACACCACCAGCAAGATCAGAGGGCTGCTGAGGAGAGATTTATGAGGACTATAGTGTTGTTCTCACTGGTGGAAGGAGAAAGCCTCATTTAACGCAGCAAAAATTGGCTGATGTGTCATGCAAGTGGAAATACTGTTTTTCCCCTTGTTTTGGCTTTTGGGGGGTGGCAATTTGTAGTGTGCTAAGCTCTTTTAAAGGCTTCAAATATCTTATTTTTTCTGTACCAAATGTTGGAAAAAAATCATACTGATTCTCACCAAATTTCTAGAGGAAGAAACGACTATAGAAATTAGCATAGACCTGTAATTCATGCTTCTGAGTAGCAGATCAAATAGCAAATCGAAATCCAAGAAGAGTCTTCTCCTCTGAAAAACAGAAGCAGCCATACTGGCAATGTGGGGGAAAAGAATTTATATTAAAATAATAATTTTATTAGGCCAACTGCAGGTTTTCAAAACTACATGCAAGCATTTAAGATTTCAGAAACAATTTTCTCAGGCAAGATGTCTACACACAAGAGGGAGGGAGGGAGATAACCATTTTTTCTCAAGTAAATACTACATCTCTACACTCTGTTCCAGTTATTTTTACTTTCAAAAGCAATTCTCTCAGCAAGTTGCACATTAGTCCTGGCAGATTATGAACAACCCCTGGCCTGCTTGTATTCTTGTTCTGCTTCTCTAATGCATTGTGCCCCAGATGACCATGTCAACATGCCTAAAACTAGGAAATAGTCCTTGACAGTTCCAAATTGACTCCCTTTGGAATTTCATTGCACTCTCTGGCTTAACAGAATCATAGCACTAAAATTCCTCCTTTTCTTTGCAGCCACCTTCATCATCAAAAGTTTATCTTTTTTAAACTACAGCAACAGTGGTTGTTGCTTTTTCTGAAGCAGTCAATGTGGTTCTTTTGCCCTGATCATTGTATCTGTTGTGATTATTTTTCCTTTCATACTGTTTTTCTACATATTGCCTAGGGGATCGACCGCTCTCACTCTTGGGTCAACTCTGCCTATGCCCCTGGAGGCCCCAAGTCTGTGCTTCGCAGGAACCATCCGAACTCCAGCACGGACCTGAAGCAGGTGCCTTTCCTCTCCCTCCCATTGTGCTTGTAGCTTCTCCCTTTGGCAGGCTTGTCAAAGTTCATTTGCAATAGCAGCCAGATTCAGATGGGAGAATAAAGCTTTCCAAATGGCTGAAGTGGGAGGCTGCTGAGCACAGCACTGGCCATCAACGGCATTTTCACAGACAATGAGTTTTCTTTCTTTATTGAACATTCCAATGTTCTCCACTTTCCCTTTGCCACTTTGAAAGTTTAATCGGATACAGAGTGTTTTCTAGAAAAAAGAACTGTGGCATTACAGGATACACACAAGGTTTTCTTGCTGGGACAGACCATTCTGTTTTTATTTTGGAAGCATTTGAGCTGGGCACTATCAGAGAAAGAACTTGTCTGTAATGCCCTTTGAAAAATCTTGAATGCTTCCATTGATAATTTAGATGTGTACTTACTGATCTGTGTTTGCTATACATATGGTTCTTAGCATCAGCTTCCTAATCGCATAGATTTAATCATGAGAGTTTGTGGCATAATAAAACCAAAACAACCTCTTTGGGTGGTGCTCTAATAAAATCTTCGTAATTGTTAATTTACACAATTAACTGTTGCCTTTGACAAATCCTTAAAACAGGGATAAACAAGATTTGGTGGGATATGCATTGGCTCCTGCTAGCTACTTTTGCCAAGTAAGTAGGCTATATTGTACCATCTATTTATGTTCATTCCTGTTTCAAAAAGCAATATGTTAGCATGAATTTTATTACTTTTCTAAATGGTTGTTTGTTTAAACATTGAAGAAATCCTGCCTTCTTTGTTCCTATATGAGATTATGTTAGGTAAGTGCTTGTTTTTCCTCTCTGCAGGTTTTCTTTTCATGGCTGGCAAGGCTTTGTGTCCTTCAGAGCAAAGCATTTGACCAGAAATATATCAGAGCAAGGGGAGGAATGTCTAGAATTAATAGTTTAGTTCAGACTTTCCGAGTTCTCAAGATCAAGAATAGATTGTTGGTTGTGCAGTTGATCCTTTACCCTCTGTTGCTTGCCTGACCAATAAGATGCTTCTAATTTTACCCGCACTTTTTGGTTAAGCCAGGAATGTTCCTTTTTCCGCACTGAGTGTAGAAGTGTTTGTGCTTCAACCCCCTCAAGCTGCAATCATAGATGGATGGCAAACATTGGTTTGGCTACTGCTCTTGGCCAGCTAGGACAAGTTCAGTTTTCTGTTTTAATTTTGATGATGACATTGTTCTCTGAGCAGTTACTGTAGCCCTGGAAAGAAATGGTTAATTCTTTTGATTCATTGAGGAATCAATGGAAAGCAGGCATTAGTGTTATTTGTTGCAAACTTTCTTAATCAGTTGTATTCCTGAAATGTTTTATTTCAACTCCCAAATTCCTACTCAGCATAGTGAAGGCTGCTGTTGTGAGGTGTGCATCCTAAATATGTTGGGGTGGAGAGTGGGGTTTCTGCCCTTCAGGGAAAAAATTATACTGGAACATACTTGCTCTATGAGCAATGCCAATCTTGTGCTTTTATTGATTTGCACATATGTATTTGGAGGTGTGTGCGTGTGTGTGTATTTGTGTGTGCATGTCTGTGCAAGTGCTGAAGAACTGCAAGTTTGAATCAGCCTTCTAGTTCTGGTACAAAATAGTTTGTTTTCTAGATTTCATTATATAGGACAGTAACTGAGGTATATAACAAGAGTTATATTTTTTGAGTTGTTCAAATTTTTTCATACATTATTCTTGAATCTGACTAACAGATCTATAAAATTGGCTAGTGTTGCAGATTTGGAGTGAAGATGTAGATATTAAAAAGGGAGATAAAAACTAATACTGCCAAATGTAAAGCAAAAAAATTGAAACAAAGCTAAAATTGCAAGAAAGAAAAATAGAAAAGAAAGAAAAAAGATACAAAGAATCGCTTCTCATCTTTTCTACAACAGTTGTAAGTACAATTACAAATTCACGTCTTTATGGTTATAACATAACTCTCTTCTTTCTATAATCTATCCTGTCTAATCATCAAAACCATAAATTACAAATTGATTTTTTTCTGTTTCACACAATCAGAATAGAGCTGGAAGGGACTTTGGAGGTCTTCTAGTCCAACCCCTTGCTCAACCAGGAGAACCTATACCATTTCAGACAAATGACTGTTCAGTCTCTTCTTAAAAACCTCCAGTGATGGAGCACCCACAACTTCTGGAGGCAAGCTGTTCCACATATTGATTGTCCTCACTTTTAGGAAGTCTCTCCTCAGTACCTGGTTGCTTTTCTCTTTGATTAGTTTCCATGCATTGTTTCTTGTCCTGCGTACAAGTGCTTTGGTAAATAAGGTGACTCCCTCCTCTTTGTGATAACCTCTCAAATACTGGAATGCTGCTATCTGTTACCCCTAGTCCTTCTTTCCTCTAGACTAGCCAAACCCAAATCCTGCAATTGTTCTTCATATTTTAGTCACTCTGCCTAGTTGCTCTTCTTTGCACTTTTTCCAAAGTCTCAACATCTTTCTTGTAATGTGACAACCAAAATTGAACACAATATTCTAGGTGTGGCCTTACTAAAGCTTTATAAAGCAATACTAATACTTTTGATTCTATGCCTCTATTCATACAGCCAAGGATTGTATTAGCTTTTTTGGCTACTGCCACATACTGCTGGCTCATATTTAAGTGATCATCCACTAGGACTCCAAGGTCCCTCTCGAAGTTTCTGTTTTTAAGCCAGGTTTCGTAGCTTTGTAGCTTTGATATATTTTTTTTGAGCCAAGTTTTGGAGCTTTTGTTTTTCCTGCCTAAGTGTAAAACCCTGCTTTTCTCCACATTAAATTTAATGTTATTGGATATGGTCCATTCTTCAAGTCTGTCCAAATCTTTTTGGATCCTGAGCTTGTCTTCTTGGGTGTTTGATATTTCTGCCAGCTTAGTATCATCTACAAATGAAACAAGTTCCCCTTCTTTTCCCTCATCTAGTCATTTATGAAGATATTGAAGAGTACTGGCCTGTGATCATTATCACCTTTTTAGGCTTGACAACAACAAGAGACATATGAACAATATAAAAAGCTATTTATTAGAAGCGTTTGCAAAGGCTTGGACTCCTTCTCCTTTTGGGGAGGAGATAGGAGACATCTTCCATAGAAATTCATGACAGTTGTATTCATTTTCAGAAGCTCAGCCTTGTTACCACCTCTTCATCCTATTGGCTAATTTCTGGGTGGGTAAGGGTCTTTTTCCCGTAAGTTAGATCCCATCTGTTTACCCATTACCATAATCTCCATTCTGTTTGGCAGCTGGTATTATTGTCAGCATTATTAATTTTAGCATGACAACTGTTCAGTCTGACCTGTCAATTATCTTTTGTGACCTGCCAACTATCTTTAACCAGAATGTGCAAAACAATATTGTTATTGTAAATACAAAGAACATTCTTACACAATGTCTTACTTAATATTCCAGTAATATTCCAGTAAAATGTATTCGGTTACTTTGAAGCTAAAAATGGAATTACCCTGGCTCTATCATTTACAGGAATACTTCTTAGATATCTAAGACAGAATCTTGTGGTATCCCCTGCTTACTTCCGTCCATGTGGATGTAGTACCATTAAGGACAACTCGTTGAGTACAGTTTGTTAGCCGGTTACAAATTCATCTGGTAGTGATGCTATCTATCTCACATAAGTTTGGTCTATTTTGTTGAATGCCTTGCTGAAATCTAGCTATACTCTGTCCACAGCATTTTGCTAGTCTACTAATTAAGTCATTTTATTAAAGAATAAAATAAGATTGGGTTGCCATGCTCTATTTTTAACAAACCCATGCTGTCTTTTAATTATAACTTTACTCATTTCTAGATGTTGGCAGATCTGTTTTCTGATTATCTTTTCCAGTATCTTCCCAGGTATTGATATTAGGCTGATTGATCTGTAGTTTCCTGGGTCTTGTTTTTCCCCCCTTCTTTGAAGATAGGAACCACATCAACTCTTCCAGTCCTCTGGTAGTTCCCCAGTATTCCAGGATTTTTGAAAGATATGATTCATATTTCTGAGATAGCATCTGACTATTCCTTCAGAACTCTGGGATGTAAACCATCAGGTCCCAGTGATTTATATTTGTCAAGATCAGATAGGTGTTCTCTTACCATTTTATTGCTTATTTTATTTTTTATTTCTAGTCTATCTTTTACAGTTATGTTTTTGGTGGGTTGGGCTATACTTTCTTTTTGCATGAAGAGTGATGCAAAGAATGTATTAAGCAATTCTACTTTCTCTCTACTGACTGTTACTTCCTTGCCACCTTCTCTCTTAAGTAGATTTACTGTTTCCTTGATTTTTTTTCTTGTTATTGAAGTGTTTATAAATTTAAATTATATTTAAATTTAAAAGTCTATAAGGTATTTCCAGTCAGTAAAAAGCATAGATATTGAATTTTCTCTGATCAAAGTAGTCAACAGATTAGGAGTGAAATTGATGGGAAATCTTCTAAGGCTCATTGCAAGGTAGAAGATTAAGGATAATAACAAACACCCCAGATAAGTCATAACATGTCATTTAAAACACGGAATAAAAAATAGGTTGGCAACTGGCTTCCCTTTGGAAATCATAATGGCCAGAAAGTTAAGATTTGCTTTTAATCAAATATAGTTACCGTATATATTCAAGTCAGGATTGGCGTGCTTCTGTCTGTCTGTTTGAAAAAGAGAGATAGAAAGTTGGGAAAATATTTGGAAAATATTGAACTAATATTTGGGAACTGCTATAGATTTCAGAGGTTATGATTTCTTTGCCATTGCATGATTGCCATCATGATAGTTTTCCTACTGTCTTTTCATTCTTGCTCATACTATTTACTTTTAAACAAGTCATAGTTTCATTCACAAGAGTAAACAATTAAATTTTGTAAGCTGGCGAGTTAATCATTCCCAGTTATTTATCTGCTTAACTTTTAATTTTGTAAAACACATTTTCTTTTGCTCCCTGGACAGTTACAACTTCTACCCCAACTGTGTCATTTTCAAGCGCAGGTTTGACTCTTGGAACTCATTTAGATGTGAAGCCTATCAGTTCCTCTTGAGAGTGAAATTTTTCCTTTTTTTCATATGATACCACAGTTTTAGGTTATTTCCAAACCCTAACAAATTGTACCAGTCAAAGGTGGTGTTATGAAATAAGCCAACTTAAAACCATGATTTTGTTAACTTATTTCAGTCTGCAGTTAAAATTTACAGGCATTTAGATTTCAGATATAATGCTAAGCTAACTGTTTGGTAACAGAAACAATGCTATTGATCTTTTCTTTACAACCATTGGAATTTAAGAATTATATGTAACTCTAAACCATAGTTAGTTTTTTATTCAAACCAAGCCTGGGCATAGCTAGTTTATAATTACATATTTGTAATGCTGGCATAGAAACAAAGACAGACTCTTTTGATCTGTTGCCTGTCCCATCCACCTTCCAGGTTGTGCTATTCAGTTTGGAGATACAAGCGTATACAGTAAGAGAGATTGGAACCCAGGGTTCACCCTTTTCCTAATTCCAGATAGCTAAAAAGACCTGAATAAAAATAAGCAGAGTTCCTGCTATTATAATGCCTTTGCCCAATCATCCACACTGCAGCGCAGTAGATAAACAAGCAGAGTTTCTCCATATGGGGAAGATGAGTGATGCCAGGAGAACTTTAAGATAGGCTGGTTTTAGACAGTAGGGCAAAGGCTTGTCATTAACCAGCAGGGGGGTACACAGTGCTGCACTAAAAGAAAAAAAAAGAGGAAAGTATCAGCGTTATCTGTTTATGCAAACTTTGGCTGTAAGATCTTTGATTGCTTGAGCATCTTGAAGGAGCTCCAGAATTGTAAGTCCCCCAGTTCTTATAACTTTCTGTTTCCTGGCAAAATGTAGCTGGCTTTCGAATTCTAAGCAACGTTTTCTCAGGTAAGGAAGTCAGGCTCTTTTTCCTTAACCATCACGTCACCATTTCTTCCATTCTGGGTAATACCTCTTCACCATCACTGTTTCCTCTCTTTTTTCTGTCTTCTGCTCCTCCTCTCACAGGCTGCAGAGTGTGCACCTAATCGCATCTCCTCCTATCTCGAGGGCTCCACTTTTGTGCCAGCAGCTCCGATGAGACCAGCAACCAAAAAGGTAGAGAAGGACTGTCAACCCAAAACTGTTCTCTGTGGCACACTGAAATGTTGTTGCTAGACACACTTGGTTGGGAGATGCAGTGAGACAAGCTTAGAATTTAGCTAAAAGGCATTTTAATCAGAAACTTTGTTGAAAACTGAAAGAGATGCTGTAAAAATGTGGTATTACAGAAATGAATGCATAGAATGTGGCAGCGTAGGCTCTGCAAAGTGGCATACCTTTAGTTGATGGTCATCTTTCCTTCTGTCAGGAATATTCCAGAACCTGCTGACTGCAAAAACCAAACCACACTACAGTAGTAATTATGATAAGCTGATCTCTTACAGTTGTTCAGTTTATTGGGTCCTTCTGTTTTCACTTTTCACTCTTCCCACCTTTCCTAACTGAAGATCGTGTTAGCCTTTCCCACTTCCTCATTGACTTATGGCTTTGGTTTTTCCATACATGATATGTAATTCCCCAGATTTTCTTCTCAAGCCAATCTTCTAAATTACTCTTGGAGTCCAGAGAATTTACCAGGAAAACATGTGTGGACTTGGCTGTTCATGGTTAATTGATTTAGGCTACCTGAAGTAGGAGCTGCTCCCAGTTGGGAGCTTGGTGAGGGAGAACCACTATCATTTGTTGACTACTTTAGTGAATGTACTGTGATTGAAGATTTTTTTTCCTGAGGCGGGTGGAGTTGACGCCGCAGCGATATGACAGACTTTCTTGGTGTTCCCGGGGGACCCGTCAAAATCTGAACAGCCAGTGGACCCTTTGGACCTAAATCATCTTGGAGGGGCAGTTATCAAGGAGGGGACACTCTGTAGATCCCAGGGATACTGCAATATTCTTGGTTGATCCAGAGATAGCCTCTCTAGCTGACTGGAAAGGAAAGTGGCCATCACGCGCTGCTACAAGGCTGGGGCAGCTGCTAATGGAAAGTATGATTGAGCTGGGTGAGAAACCTTTTAAAATATTAAAGGAAGAAACCCACCCCCACCCCCTCCCCCACCCCGGGAAGAAAAGGGAGAAGAAAAAGTCAAAAATAAAGGAGGTGGTGGGTAAACACCCCCCACTGGAAGAAAGCGGCAAGGAAAGCAGTTTTTGGCACAAATAGAAAAAGGAAGCCATTAATTAAGGACTTATGAATGGAAAGATAATTTAAAACGGAACTGGACTTATAAAATTTACTGGACTAAACCAAGGGGAAATAGTAAGAAATTTGGATTTTCCCTTTTTTTTCCTTGCTGACTTTTAAAATTTTTAATATCTTGTATTTTAATATAAAATAGGACTTTAAATAACAAGGAGAATAGAGAAAACAGTGCAATAGCACCATCTAAAGGTGAACGAAGGAATATAAGACAGAGAGAGACAGAGAAAATAATAAACTGTATGACCTTGACAGAGTGATAACTGATACATTGTTGAATAACGGAGAGTTGAACACTGAGAACTTTCATTTAAAACAGTGTAACTCTTGGAAAAGAAACAAATGAGATACAAAGAAATGGTAGATTAAATCCCTTTCTCCTGACTGTTTTGTCTGTCATCACTGAAAGACAATTGCAAGCCTGCATTGTGAAATTATTGCTGAAAATAACTGGTGGTTGGATCACATTAGTGATCTAACGTGGATTATAATTGGATAACTGACTTTACTTTTTTTTCATTATAATATATTAATTTCTTGGATATCACATTATACTATTTTATAATTTTTCTCTTTTTCTTTTTTCCTCTTCTTTCCTCTCTTTTATTCAATTTTTAAATTTTAAATTTTGTAAAGGGATTTTAAGACTTTTTTCCTTACTTTACATACTTATTTTTGCAATATTTTTCCACAACATTTTTTTTTGTTTTTCGTCTCTTTTTTGGTATTTTTGCTGCTTTTGGCATATTTTCTTCTCTTTGGAATATACATGAAGGTATAGAAGAAACTGAAGAAAGGAATTTGGGAGAAGAGCTCGCAGTGGATTATTAATTGTTTTTGATTTGCTAATTTGATTGGATTATTACAAGATGGATTACAAAGAAGTTATAAAGAGACAACAAACACAATATCTTAAAATGAAAAAACAACATCTGCCCCATCTTCTGCCTCTTGCTCGGCTACTTCGAGCCCTGCCGGACAAAGATCTCTGGATGTTATGTTACAGCAAGTGAAGGTGGTTGCAATGCAAGCAGAGATCAAAATGATCTTACAAGCTTTACAAGAGCAAATAGGGAGATTGGAAGAGAAAGTAGGGAATGTAGAAGGTAGGAAATGTAGAAGAAAAGGTAAAGAACATCCAGCAATTGATGATAAAAAATGAAGAATGTATGGGGAAAATAGAGGAGAGAGCAGACATAACAGAAAAAAGAGTAGGAGAAATGGACTATTGGCTGATACCAGCAGACCAAACTAAGGAGAAAAAAATTATCCCACTAGAGATGGATCTAGCCGATTATTGTTTGATTTCAAAACATTGAGGAAGAAAAGGAAGAAAACCTAGCAGAAATAATGGCAGACTTGGTGGCAGGGGCCCTGGAAGTGACAAAAGAAAAAGTAATGATAGATATAGACAAAATATTTAGAGTACAGACCAGATATGCTCTGAGAAACAAGTTACCAAGGGAGGTACATGTTAGATTCACAAAGAAGGCCATAAGAACAGAAATACCACAAAAAGCAAGAGATGACACATTGAAATATAGAGGGAAGGTAACAGTTCTGAAGCAAATAGCAAGGAGTGTTAGAGATTTAAGGAGGGAATACTAATTCTTGGCAAAATGTTTAATTAAAAGAGGGATTAATTTTAGATGGCTGATACCAGAGGGAATAATGGTGATATGGCATGAACAGAGACACAGGCTAGATTCAATAGAGAAAGCAGAGCAAACTATTTCAGAGACCAAGAGGGAGAAAGAGTGGGGGAAATAGAAGCAATAAAACAAAGAGAGGAAGCAGCAGGAGAGAGGGATAGAAGACAGTGAAGAGAGGAAAGAGAACGAAGAAAGAGCGATAAGACAAGAAGTAAAACTGAAGGAAGCAAAGGGAACAAGAGCAGCAAAACCTTATTATAAATAAAAACATGGAAGAGGAAATAAAATCGATGTCAATTAATATAAATGGACTGAATTCGGCAATAAAAAGGTTTTTCAGTAAATTAGAGAAACTAAAATCGGATATAATTTGTTTACGAGAGGTGCACATAAAAAAATAACATGATAAAATATTGGACTATTCCAAAAATGGGAAACTATATGCTTCCCTGGCACAACAAAGTAAAAGAGAAGGAGCATTATACATTAAAGATAAAATAAAAGCTAAACAAATATTCCAAGATGATGAAGGGAAGGTGTTAATGGTGGTAATAATGATAAATTGTAAACAGACATTACTAGTGGCGATATATGCACCAAATGAGAATCAAGAAGCATTTTATGATAAACTACCCCCCAAAATAATCAAACTAGAATATGAAAGTATATGCATCCTAGGAGACTTTAATGCAATAGTGGATGCTGAAATGGACTATAAAACACAAAAGACAAATAAAAAGAACAGGAAAACATTACCAAAATTCTTCTTCAAGATGACAAAAGAGTTAGCAATTTGAGATGCATGGAGAGAAATACATCATAAAAATAAACAATGCATATTCTACTGGAATAGACATTTGCCCTGGTCCAGGATCGAGATGATGTGAATATCAACAGATTTAATTTCCAACATACAAGAAATAAGTATCGAAATAAACACATGGGCAGACCATAATCTGATTAAAGTCATATGGAAGGGACAAAAATGAGGCCAAAATGGACAATGAACAATTTAATATTGAAATAAAAGGAGTATATTTAATATATGGAAAAAGAATTGGACTTTTTTAAAAATGAAAACAGAAAAGAAGAAACCTCACTACAAAATGTATGGGATACAGCAAAAGCATATATTAGAGGATTAACTATAACATATATGGGAAAGAGAAACAGAAAGAAAAGACAGGCACAAAAAATACTAGAAGAAGAATATAAAAAGATGGGGAAAGAACTCCAAAGAAACTCGTAAAGAAAGGATATACAAAATAAAATGAATTTAACAAAGCATAAAATGAAAATAATAGACAAAAAAGAACTAGCACAAAAAATAAAAAGCTCTAAACAAAACTTTTTTGAAAATGCAAATACGCCAGGAAGGTGGCTAGCATATAGACTGAAGAAAGAGAAGGAAAAGAGACAGACTTCCCAATTAACAGATCATAAAGGCAACCTTTGCTATAGAAATGAAGAGAAAAAAGAGATAGTTCAAAAATATTATTGGGAGCTATATGAACAAGAATAAGTGGAAGGAGAAATTAAAGAATACTTTAAAAAAGCAGAATTACCTAAAGTACCAGAAGAAATCAAAACAATGTTACAGGAAAGAATTACAATAATGGAATTAACAGAAGCAATTAAAAAACAAAACAATGGGAAAGCACCAGGACCGGATGGTATACCAGCAGAAATGTATAAAACCCTGCAGGACTCTTTGAGCAATACATTACTAGAAGTGGTAAATTAAGTACTGATGGAGGCAAAAATACCTAACTCATGGATGGAAGCTTACATTGCTCTTATACTGAAAAAAGATACAGCCTTACAGATTAAAAACTATAGACCAATATCATTGTTGAACTTGCATTTCAAAATATTTGCCTCAATAATGGCAGAAAGACTAAAGAGATTTTTAAACCAATTTATACACCCAGACCAAAATGGGTTTCTACCCAAGAGACAAATAAAGGATAATATGAGAATAAACTTGAATACTCTGGAATATTATGAAGCGCATCCAGAGAAACAGATGGTGTTGCTATTTCTAGATGCACAGAAGGATAATGTGAACTGGAAGTTTATGTTGGCACAAATGGAAGAAATGGGTTTTGGGGAAAGGTTTATTAAAATGATTAAGACACTATAAACAATATGCAAAAGTGATGGTTAATGGAGAGTTGTGATGGTTAATGGAGAATTGACTGAAAAAATTAACATTAAGAAGGGAACAAGGCAAGGGTGTCCCTTGTTGCCATTACTATTTGTATTAACATTAGAAGTGTTAAATAGAAATGTTAGGAAAGATAAAGAAATAAAAGGGATGGAAATAAGAAAGGAGGAATATAAACTACTGGCATTTGCAGATGACCAGGTTTTTATATTAGAAGAACCATTAGGAACAGGACCTAAGTTGATAAACAAGATAGAAGAATATGGAAAAGTGGCAGGTTGAAAATAAATAAAGGGAAAACAGATTTTGGTAAAAAAAATATGATAGAGAAACAGAAAAAAGAATTAATGGAGAGATTAGATATTCAGATTGCAAACAAAGTAAAATATCTGGGGATCCAGTTAACGGCTAGATGTGGAATGATTAAGGAAGATAATTACTAAATTAAAACAACAAATTAAGCCAGATTTGGAAAAATGCGGGAATGTGCAATTATCATTAATAGGAAGAATTGCAATGAATAAGATGAATATATTACCAAAAGTGTTGTATTTGTTCCAAACAATTCCGATAAAACTGGAGAAAAAATACTTTGAAGATATCAACAAAATAGTATTGAAATATATATGGCAAGGGAGGAAGGCAAGAATTAATTTTAAAATGTTACAGGATGCAAAAATGAGAGAAGGGTTTGGGTTACCTAATTGGGAAATATACTATCAGGCCACAGTACTAACTTGGATGGAAGAATTGATAATTTTAAGAAATACAAGGTTTCCGACACTGGAGGGACATGATTTGCAATTGGGTTGGCATGCATTTCTGTGGTACAGAAGAAATGAGATACATGGTTATTTTCAAAGGCACTTTGTTAGGAATGCTTTATTGTTAGTATGGGAAAAAATTAGAGAAGAACATTTCTTTAAAATTCCAGTCTGGTGATCAACAATAGAAGCTCTGATACGCCCAAATACTGGTAAAATGGGAACTATTGCTAGATATAAGGATATACTGAATGAAAAGGGTGAGTTCAAACCAAACAAGAATTGAATGAACAAGGGATTGATATGCATTGGTATTAATACATGCAAATACAATCAAAATACCAAAAAGATACCAAAGTTGAAGGTATCCATAAGAAGTTGACAGAATTGGACAAAATACTAACAGGAACAGGAGACAAGCTGATTAAAAAAATTGTACTGTTATTTACTAGGTGTAAAACTAGAAGAAGAACATGTAAAGAAAACAATGAGAGCATGGGTGGAAAATTTTGGGCATACAATAGAATTAGATAGATGGCAGAAACTATGGGAAAGAAATTATAAGTTAACAATATCAACAGCATATAAAAAAATGTGTATAAGATGTTTTACAGATGGCACTTTGCACCAGCAAAATTGGCAAAGACGTTTACAGATAAATCAGCCAAATGCTGGAAGTGTCACCAGACACCTGGATCATATTACCATATGTGGTGAACATATACAGAAGCAAAAAGATAGTGGACAAAATTCCACACATGGTTGGAAAAAATGATAAAGCAACACGTAGATTTTAAACCTGAAATATTTTTATTAGGAATAATACCTAAAGGTTACAGCAAAGAAAAAGTATATTAGATTATTTATGTATTAACAGCAGCTCGATTGTATTTGCTCAGAATTGGAAAAGTGATAACGGCAGAGGAAAAAGTGATAGAGAAAATATTTGAATGTGCAGAGATGAATAGATTAACACTGTCAATTAAAGAAAAAGAAGAAACCGAATATTACATGGTATGGGACTTATTTTATCAATGGTTGAAAAATAAAACAAGTTAAAACTGAGTAGATGAATACATAGAGGAATTAGTTAAGATTGTTATAAAAGTAATAAATATAAGAAATAATGGCTTACAAAGAAAATGTGATTATTGTTATATTGGTAAGAAAAGTGTTAATTACAATTGTTAGCACAAAATATATGTACCCAGTCAACACACTGTATGAATGAAAGATGAAATTATTGTAAATATAAAAAAATAAAAAATAAATTAAAAAAAGATTTCTCCCCCCCCCCTTTTGTTTCCTTGATGGATGAGCAATATATGGATGACCTTTTTCAATTAAAAAAGCTCGCAGAGAAGGAAGCACTTCTGGAAGCATATCTATTTCTAACTGGTGTGGTGGATAGATTGTGCTATTACCTCAAACTCAAAAACGCAAAGTTATAGGCCAGTCATCCCATGTAGACTCAGTAATATTAGTATGTCTCAAATGCTTGAAATTTCAGCCCAAGTTATTTAATGCATTTTCTTTAAACATTGGGATATATTATATTGTTTTAAAGCATTTGGTACCAAGCCATGAATGTAGATCAGGCAGGTCATGAAGATGATAATTTGGAGAGCACCTATGTAATTTGATTGGGGGTAACGATGCCACAAAAATCTGATATATATTCTAGCTGATTTTCAGAAAGTTGTCTTCTTGTGGGCCTTGGAATAGCTTCTGGAAATAGAAAGCCATGGTGTCAAAATGTTATAATTTGAGTTAGAGGATATTTCCAGATAAGCCTTTTATTTTATGATTGATCAGTCTTATTCATATAATTTTATATAAGGAGTCCAAATACCCTCATCCAGTGTAGTTCTCCCAGGTTTATGCTAGTCCCACCATTTTTCCTGTTACGTTTTTTCTGTGGAAAATCTGTTTGGGGGGAAAACCCAGTAGAGGGGCAGTATGCCTTTTGCTTGACAATATGGTATTGGGAGTCTGTCAGAAGGTATCCATGGAATACCGAAATAGGGATGATTCTGCAGGGCATCCTCTGAATAGTTCAGTACAGCATATCATCACCTTTGTTCTTTGTAACTCTCTCTTTCTCTCTTCTTTTTTTTTCTGTCTGGACCTGCAGCTACTTCATGAAGAACTGGCCCTCCAGTGGGTGGTGAGCACCAGTTCTGTGCGGGAGGCTGCTTTGCATCAATCCTGGTTCTTCTTCCAGCTGATGGTATGTTCAGATTGCCAGTCTTTAGTGTCAGAAACATTGGCTTCTCTTTGCTTGTTTAATTTTTTTTTAAAAAAAATAGGCAACCTTCTGGCTGTCAATAAAGACATTTCAGTTTTGTACAATGCAAAAATTTCCAATTTCTTGTTTTGTCCTTCTATGTATTTATATATAGTAATTGTCCCACCATTTATATTTGGGAGTAGAGGATTGCCAATAAATCATGATCACATACTTTCCAGATTTGAAATGAAGACCTTGTTCACACATTTTGTCATGTTAACTGTCTTTAACTCTCCAGTAAAGGAAGTGAAAGAACCCTTCAGTAAGGAAAATGACAAAACCAGTCAGAATTGTGATTGTGATTGAATAAGAGTCCTTATTGGAAATACAATTCTCAGTTTACTAAAGCACAGGCACTACCAAAGCACTATTCTAGGAGGAGTCACTCTGCCTGCATGGCAGCCTAAATTGGTTGAAGCTGAGATTGGAATTCACTGGCGGGATTAGTTGGGCTGATGCATACATACTCTGGCTCTCCATTGACAGGGGCTTGTGCTTCTTGCAGGTGAAGAGTATGGTGCACCATCTGTTCCTGTGTGACAAGCTAGAAGCCCCACGCAAGACACGCTTCCCTGGCCGTTTCATCGATGATATCTCAGCCCTGGTATACACTGTCAGTGGTGAAATTGCTAGCCGTTGTCAGAAGGTTTGTGAAAGATTCTTAGGAAAAATTCCATCTTATGGAGCTTCTAGAAAGTTAAAAAGAAATGGGGCAGGGATCTTAATTCCACAAGGTTGGGGCTGAAACATAAAATAGTTTATCCTGGCCTCTGTTCCCTTCACTTAATGGAATAGGGAGCAGAAGCTTCTTTAAAAATCCCCTGGGTAGTATGATTCAGAGAGAAGGAGGTTCTGCAGATACCTAGGTGCTCAACTATGGGGTTTATAGATCAAAACAATACTTTGAATTAAACCCAAAAACCTATTGGCAACTATTATAGGGTCTGAAAGACAAGTGTAATGTGCTTTTCATGAATAATACCCAGCAGTAGGCAGCTGTTCCATTTTGTATTGTAGTTTTCAAATCAGTCACAATTAAAGCTCATTGGAATAGTCTAATAACATAATGATGGGAATATGTATCACTGTCACAATAACCTTAAGCCTTAAGGTAAGGCTTATTCTGGTACATTAGTGAAACCTGGACATTGCCTGGCAGCAGCTGTAACTACACACACCTGTTCTCTCAGGGGCAATGCCACTCCCATTAAGAGACAACAGTTGATTGACAATACAGAAGAAACTTTGTCTCACTTGGTTTTAATTTCAACTTGTCTTGTCTAATCCATACCTTATAGATTCCAGTCAGCAGGACAAGACTTCCACAGTCTTCCTGGTATGACCTAGGCATAGTGTACAACTGGGTATTATCCCATACTGCTAATGCTGGAATGAATGTATCCCAGGAGTTTATGTAGATGTTAAACATGAGGGGACCTATCCTGAAGCACTCCATAAATGAAGGACCACCAAGCCAATCTCTTCTCTCTAACTGCATCATCACTTAACTGCATTTACCTACTAAGGAAAGAGCAAAACAATGTTTTACACTCCCAACCCTTGCAGGGTTCAGAAGTATAGCATGGTTGACGCTCTTGAATGCTGCTGACAAGATAATAGGACCAGAAAGGATATACTATATCGGCTGATCCCAACAAAGATAATCCACCAAAGCAACTGACACTGCTTCCACCCCATACACAAACCTGAGTCCTGACTGAAAACAGTTTAGAGCATGGGTGTCAAATGTCATGGCGGTGTTACGTGATACATCAGGACATTTCCCCCCCCTTCGCTAAAGGGTGTGCGCGTGGCCAGCCTGTGTTGCATCCAGCCCATGGGCCACAAGTTTGACAGCCCTGCTTTATATAATCTGCTCCCTCAGAGCATCCTGAAGTTCAGTTTCTATTACCCTCTCAACAACTTTTCCTAAAAAGGGAATGTTGAAGAGTGGATGCTATATGCCAAACTTTACAAATTCTAGGTTTGGTCAGCTCTCAATTCAACTTTGCTAGTGAGGCAAATATAACACTTACTGGTAAAATAGTTTCACATTTTATTGAAATCTATAGGCCTGGCTGTATTTGCATTTGCCTGCTGTGCCCAAAACTCCACAGAAGTTGTGAAGTGTGAAAAACCTCTTATTCTCAGTTGTACGGGTCGGAGAATCCAAAGTGTGGGCTGTCTCCTGCTTTCTTGCTTAAAGACAGAATCAGTCAAAGTTTAGTCCATCCTCCTTTCCACTGCGCATGCCTAGTTTTTGACTCTGTCTTCATGCAAAGAGGACACGAGGAGAGAGTGCTCAGATAGAAAAATAGAAAATATATCCAAATGCTTTGGATTCTTTGAGAAAAAAAGAGAGAAAACAGAAAGAGTGAAAGTCAGCAAACCATGAGTAAGCAAAAGAGCCGGGACCTCATCCCAAGATGGGAAAGCCCACATAGCTGTTTGGTGTTAAGAGAATAAGCAGCAGCAGCCTCAGTAAGAGCGGGCGGGCTCTCGATCGGCTAGCAAAGAAGGAGGGCAAATTAACTCAGCTTTCCCAGAGCCTTCGTTAAACAAACCAGAAGCCGCACAAGCCTCCAGCGCTAAGACTCCAAACTCAGTCTTAGCCTGAGCAAGCTTCCATCACAGCCACACAAGCCTACCCAGGAGAAAGGGAGGCTAGAGTCCATGCTCAGGCCAGTCTAAGTATACTCTTATTGGCAAAAGCCAAAGGGAAAGACTATGGCTGAATTTTCTGAAACAGAGGCAAGCCTGGAGGAACAGGAATCCCCTGCCCCCAGTTTGAGCAGAGAGCAAAGCACAAAGGAACCCAGAGAGGCTGGGAGAGCTTCAGAAAGGCCTCTCAGCAGGGTGTCCAAGGCAGATGAGAGGGAGGCATTAAGGAGACAAAGGACCATTGAGAAATGCTTCCCAAGGGCGGAAAAGGTGGCAGAGAAGAATGGAAATTCCAGCGCTCCAATAGGCAAACCAATGAAAGCAAAGTATCAGGAAAGGAGTGCAACACTAGAGGGCGCTAAAGATCAGCCTTTTCAGCCTGCTCTTTGTGTGAAGGAATGATGAGTGAATCAGAAAGACAATGCTCTCAGACATGCAATGAAGAGCCCTCCCCCAAGAGAAAGAGATTTTCAACAGAGTCTAGTTCTTTTTCCACAGCATCGGAAGTCAGGGAACAGTCCTTTAAAGAGGAAATGAGGGCTATGATGAAAGAAATGATGGCAGAATTCAGGGACAGTCAGGGTAACAGACCCAGCCTGATTCATGAGAGGAGACGGGATACTCATCATCATTCTACTCGAGCAGGAGGAGTAAGGGAGGAACTGGGCTTCCAGGGAGACAATTCCACTAGATCAGACACTCACAGTGAGGCCTCTGTTTCAAGAGAGGAAGGACATAGGGAGTCACCTTTGTCAGATGAGGAAACTAATGAACCAGAAACTCCAATGTTCACGGGTCTATTTTGTGCTGTTTAAGATGCTGCTGGGGAAGGCTAAGATAGCAACAGGCCTGGGGAGAATTACAGGGACAGAAGGGTCTGAGTTAAAACCATCTGATCCAAAGATAGATTTTTTTGCTAGAACCAAGGTTGAAAGTGAATCCATACCTTCACCTGAATTGTTCAGGGAAGTGGTGGAAGGTCAGTTGGACAGACCAGTTATTTTCCCAATGCCAGGGGGGGAATGAGACGAAATTTTATAATGCGGAACTAGCAGACCTATTCCCAGTTCCCACGATAGACAGCCCTGTGGCAGCCTCCACATCTGGTACAGTGTTGGCTAACAAATCTGAGGATAGTCTAAAAGGGGAGGATAAGAAAACAGAACAGACCCTACAAAAAGTTCACCAGGCTGCAGCATGCGCAGTAAAGGCAACGTCCACAGCATCATTTTTCAGCAGAGAAGCCCTGATATGGATTGAACAGATGCAGGAAAGGATGCCACCTGGCGATCTTCAATTGCAACAGGATATGAACAAAATTACTGCTGCAACAGAGTTCATAGCAGACGCCACACTTAATGGGGTCAAGTACACAACTAAGGCCATCGCAGCTTCAGTGGCTGCAAGGCGACTTGTTTGGCTCCACCATTGGCAGGCAGATCTGAAACATAAATGGAAACTGGCATCAGTTCCAGTTAAAGGGGACAAACTTTTCAGGGAGGCCATTGAGCCATTACTGATTGAAACCAAGGACAAGAGGAGGGTCTTACCCAGGAAACTTGGTCAGGCAGATAGGTGACCTTCTCCGTATACATGGCAACAGCCCTTTCCTATCTCGGGGGGTGGCTTCAACCACTCCCCATACACACAGACGGTACACACAGACCTCTACTAGACATCCAGATAGGTCAAGATTTAGAGATGGGGTGGACAGTGGTCCCAGGGAAGGTGCCCCTTCCAGAGTTCAACCAGCAGGGCCTTCCGGCATACAAAATGATGACTGGAACAATGTTCCCATCGGCGGGAGGCTGGGCCTATTCACCGACCGATGGGTGTCGACTACAACGGACAAGTGGATCCTAGGCACATTAAGAAAAAGCCTAGTTCTGGAATTCATCTCCATACCCCCAAGCTCATTCAGAAGATGCCCGACGCCAAGGGACAGAACCAAAAGGGTAATTATGGAAACAACAGTTCAACATCTGCTGGACATTCGGGCGGTACAAGTGGTACCAGACAGTGAACAGGGACAAGGGTTCTATTCAAACCTATTTGTTGTGCAGAAGGCGTGGGGTGTGGGAGACTAATTTTGGATCTCAAATTACTAAACAGGCACATAGTATACAGGAGATTCAAGATGCAGTCCCTGCAAGCTATACTAGGGAGTATATGGGAGGGGGATGTCCTGACATCAGTAGACCTCATAGATCAGTGATGGCTAACCTTTTCAGCTTGGTGTGTCAAAAATCGGGAAAAAGTGTAGCCTTCCTCGGGTCGTGTGTCACTTCAAGAAATATCAATAATTTGATAATATTTGCAGCCCTAATAAAGAAAGAGTTATATTTTTAATATATTTATTATATTTACTAGTTCAAAAAGCTAAAAGTTTTGGAGATTTTTTTTTGGAGGGTTTGCATGGTGCTCTGTGAGGATGGTGAGAAGCAAGAACTGCAAGAGGTGCTATGGAGGCAATTAAAGCTTAGAGGAGCTGGAGAGGGGCTGAATGCTGCAGACTAGACATCCAAGCGTTTTACAATGAGAGAGAAGAAGGGAGAGCCACAAAGACAGAAATGCAGATTTTAGTATTAATTGCACTTACAGGACAGCCACCCAATGCTGCTTATCGTGAGCACTGTGTCTGGTTGTTGTGGTGCAGTCCTCCTGTGATGTTTATGACGGACTGGGCTGGGGTGATCACACAGGGCTGTGAAACTTGTCTCCCTGGTCTCAGGGCTGCAGGTGCAGGATGTGGGGATCGGAAGGCCACCTTACAGGTCTGTGAATCTCATGGATCTCCTTTCCTCCTGTAGCGTTCCTGAGATAATAAAGCTGACAAACCTCAGCTTATGGCGGTTAAAACTGGTTCTCTGCTGCAAAGATCTCACGGCAGCGGTGACACCACGCCTCCACGCAACAAGCAGGGAGCAGGGATTGGAGCAGAGCACAGGCAGCCTCTAAATGTGCAGGTTTTCCCCACACCAACAGGCGTGTCAGTCAAAGTGCCTCGGTGTGTCACGAGTGACACGCGTGTAATAGGTTAGCCATCACTGTCATAGATGCTTACCTACACATACCTATTACCAGGAGGCATCGGAAGTTCCTGTGGTTTTGTTACAAAGGGAGACACTACCAGTGCAGGGCTCTACCATTCGACCTGTCCTCAGCACCGAGGACTTTCACCAAGGTCCTGGCAGCAAGTACCAGCCTTCCTCAGAACAAAGCCCATACGAGTCCAATGCTACTTAGATGACATATTAATACAGTCAACATTGACTCTAAGAGCACAGAGCGATCTAGAAACCATGATATAGACATTACAAGAGCATGGCTTTTCGGTGAATTTTGAAAAGAGCCACCTGGAACCGACCAGGCGATTACAACACTTAGGAGCTGTAATAGACACCAACTCCTGTGAGGCTTACCTGTCACAGGAAAGGCAGGACAGCATAAGGTCATCAATAAATCATGTGAGCACAGCTCCGGGGGACTTGCTGTCACAAATACTAGGGAAGATGATATCATGCATCTCAATAGTACCTTGGGCCAGGCTGCACGCAAGGACATTGCAGGGGTTCCTATTACCTTACCAGAGAGCAGACAAGGGCAATACAGGAACCAAGGTATGAGTTCCCCCCCCAGAATGAAGCAGTCACTCCAGTGGTGGAGATCACCTGCAGTGATGAGAGGATGTGGGTTTAAGGAATGCACCTGACTGACTTATCACAACAGATTCAAGTTTAGTAGGCTGGGGAGCCCGCTGTCAGAGCCAGATTACACCGGGTCAGTAGTCTCAGTCAGACTTCAAGAACATCATCAACTGGTTGGAGCTCAGGGCATCTCACCTGGCTATAAAGGACTTCAGGTCAGTGATAGTAGGACAGCATGTGTTGATCCTGACAGACAACGTGACCGCCAAGGCTCATATCAACAGGCAAGGGGTACTCCCTAGCGCTCATGCAAGAAGCAGAGCAATTGGGCTGCTGGGGTGGAGACGCACCTATTGATCAGGGTGGAACACATATCGGGAGTGGAAAATGTTCAGGCAGATTGGCTCAGCAGAACAATGGTTGATCACTCAGAGTGGCGCCTACACCCAGACCTGTTCAGGGAACTGTCACACAGATTCAGGAGAGCAGTCCTGGACCTGTTTGCGATGCCAGCAAATGCACAACTCCCAAGATTCTACTCGAGATTCCCGGAGGGAACCAATGCGTTCCGAGAAGCATGGCCAAGGGGTTTGCTCTACGCATTCCCCCCACTCCCCGTGATACCAAGGGTAATCAAGAAAGTGATAGAACAGGGGGCGGAGGTCTTAATGGTAGCATCTCACTGGCCCAGGAGGTCTTGGTACATGGATGGTAGATCTGTTGGTATCCAGACCATGGAGAATTCCCCCAGACAAGGTAGAACTGAGTCAGGGAGCCCTATGACACCCAGAACCACAATGGCTGCAACTAACTGTATGGCACTTGAGAGGACCACACTAAAGCATTTAGAGTGCTCAGACAAGGTAATACCGACCCTCCAGGCATCAACCACTCCAGGCGACCATCAACCAACAGAATTTATGATGCCACTTGGAGAGCATTTGGAACCTGGTGTTCCAACAAACAAATAGATCCAACCACAGTGTTAGTTACTCAAGTGCTGGATTTTCTCCAGGAACTCCTGGAGAAGGGTTTAACCCCTAACACCTTAAGGAGGCAGGTAGCAGCGATAGCTTCAGTATTGGGTTGCGGGACCTTGGAGTCCCTCTCACGACACCCCTTAATCCGCACGTTCAGGGGAGCAACCAATCTAAAGCCACCAGTGATACACAGGTACCCTACTTGGGACTTGACAAGGGTGCTAAGGACGCTCATGACTGACCCCCTTGAATCGCTGAGGTAAGTAGGACTACCTTCACTCACCCTTAAGGTGGCTTTCCTAATAGCCATTACATCAGCCAGAAGAATTTCAGAGTTGGCAGCATTATCCGTGAGGGAGGACCTCTGTATAGTTCACCTGAATAGGGTAGTATTAAGATTAGACCTGACCTTTATCCCAAAGATCAATTCTGCGTTCCGTAGAGCACAAGAGTTAGTACTACCAGACTTCTGCCCAGAACCGGTCCATAGCCTAGAAAGGAAGTGGCACTATACGCATTTATATTAAGAGAACAAGGCCCATTAGAAAAATGTTTGTTTCATTTAGACCGAGTTCGTTGGGACAAAGGGTTTCACCATCTACCGTAGGCAGATGGATCAAGACATGTATCACAAAGCTTATGAAAGCCAATCATTGCAATTGCCGGGTAACATAACAGCACATTCAACCAGGAGTGCAGCCACATCAGTGGCACGAAATACACAGGCCTCGATTGAAGAGATCTGTAGGGCAGCAAAGTGGTCATCGCCATCTCCATTCATCAGAAATTATAAACTGGATACATTTGCATCAGTGGAAGCATCCTTTGGAAGAAGAGTGCTACAAAGAGTTCACACGGAGATAGGGGCTCGGGACAAGGAGTTGGCCTACCCTCAGGACAATTAACCTGGGTATGTTCCACGCTTTGGATTCTCCGACCCGTACAACTGAGAAAGAGCATTGGGCTTACCTGAAACGCATCTTCTAGTTGTACGGGAGGAGAATCCAAATCCCACCCTTAGGTAGTTAGTCCCGAGCTCAGAATGGTCAAGAACGAGCACCAAAGAACTCTCCAAGTCAATCAACAGCCTTCATCAAAAACTGGGCATACGCAGTGGAAAGGGGGCTTTGATTGACTCCATCTTTAAGCAAGGAAGCAGGAGACAGCCCACGCTTTGGATTCTCTTCCCATACAACTAGAAGATGCATTTCAGGTAAGCCCAACGCTCTTTTTCTGCATTCTGCTGCTGCACTCTGTGCCAAAGGTCCATTAAAAAAGCATTTGAGGTAGGGCCAATTCATAAACAGTTATGCTGTTTCCATAGGATGTGGAGCTGGTGGAGCATCTCAACAGTAGCCTGGCCTTTTTTCTCAATGACCTGCTGTCGTTCATGAATCGTGGCTTTGTCTTTGATCTTCTGCGGTCTTATTATAAGCAGGTAATAAGTATGTTCTTTTCCTCAGAATTATGAGTTTTCTGTTGGGAAGAGGATACATTATTAGACTCAAAGTGCCAAGATGACTATGGGAATCATTTTGCATTGCAGGGCTTAACTACTTTTTTTTTGTAACACATTTTTTATTTTTTCTTCTTCTACAAGCATATTGTGTGAACAGTGTGCTTACAGGGTATTTTATATTTTAGAACAAACATGACAATGATTTCATATTGAAACTGTTAATGATTAATATTAATACAAATTATTTATCCTGATTATTCCAAATTCCCATATCTCAACATCACTTCTTTTATTATAAATATATATTATTGGTCAAACTTGCAGTGTTTAACAAATTTTAATTTTTATAGCCATTCATAAATTCATATTAATTTATATTCTCTCCTATTTATCCCTTTTTTGATTCTTAGTTGTGCCATTAGTATAATCCCTTTCTGATCTCATTTAGTACAAACAAAATAATATTCATCCTTTTTACGTTTAGCAAATATTCTAGCAATAATACAATCCCATGTAATTAATAGCATATTTCATTGGGTTATTTTTTGTCAGGTTCCATATGTCATTTCTTTTCTTACAGTACAATATTATTTCTCATATTTTTATAATTAGCGATTTATATGTCTTTAACAATCATCCTATAGTAAAATATTTCATATTTATTACAACTACCATATTAATTTTCATGTTTATTACAGATAACAATTGTATATCCTTAATAGTAATCCTATAATAGATTATTTCATGTTACAATTAACAATTAAATATCTTAATAATAATACACATGTGGAATCCTTATCCTTTCCTTTTTCAACTATCGTCTCTTACTCTTAATAAAGCCTTAATTGGTTACTTCCTGGCTTGTCTCCCAATTTCTATCATATTTTGACCCTTCCTCCAATTGTCTAGTTTTACCCCAATTCTCTTAAAATATTCTCCCTGAAATTCCATCTCCTGTTGCTTTTCCCTAATAATATTCTCTCCTTGATTTATCACCTCTATCATTATCATTTTATGTTTTTTTTCTTTTTATCCTTCTTTTTGTTGTTGTTCCATCTGTTCTATTTTTCTGGTTATAATTTCAGTTAGCGCCACCTCTTCCTGGGTTTTTTGTTTCCTTTCCATTGTTTGTGTCTATGTTCAGCTCTCCTGCCATGCATTGTATTTTATTCAAAATGTCCTCAAATCTTTTACTCATAATGTCCATTGTAGCTTGTAATTCCAGCACAATTTCTTCCTTTCTTTTTTTTAACAAATTTTATTCAGTTTTTCACATTAAAAACAAAAGTCTCTTTTTAGTGGACAACATATTTCCGGGTCATCACCTTTACATACAAATATGACAGCAATTATACATTCATATATGCATACTTAATTCTGTTATTACCTTTTCCATTCCAAATTTTCAGTAGGGAGAGAAACAAACACATTAATTCTAGGCTCTTTCATTAATCTCAATCGAAACAACTTTTTGTTTCATTTCAATTGTTTCAAATATAATCCTTTAATATTTATTTTAAAAATAAAGATAAACAATATGTGTTTGAATAATAATAATAAGTTACCAATGTCTCTCCTTGATTTTAATAATCTATGTTAATTTATTAATTTAGTTAGTTCTTTAGTCTGTCATATTCCCTTTCCATTACACATTCTTTATATAAATTCTAGATTAATACAAATTTTAACACTAAAAAAAAACAAGTATAGGTTTCCCCCCTTTTACTGCTTTGAATGTG